GCGCTAAGCAAGCCATGTGATTTTTGGGGTTAAAAAATGTTGGTTCGGATGATTGAGTATTGCATGCGGACAAATTTGACTGCAATTGCTAGACGGTGAAAGGAAATAGGATGATTAAAATTGTTATAAATTTATAATATGTGCAAACTTTATAAAAATTATTGTATTCGATTCATCAGTCTAGTGAATTATAGACAATTAGGCCATACAAATTTAATTTTATAACAGATCCAGCCAAATATAAAAATTTTTAATTTACTGACTCAAAATCAGCATCGTTTGGCCTCTTAATCTTATAGATTCAGTTATTGGCAATTTTTTTAGTTGTTCTAAGAATAATAAAAATAGTCTCGAATGATTATGATTTTATCTGAGTCTTAATTAAAGGCTTATATTTTATGATGACATTTTTACTTACACTTTCTTTTTCTAATATAATATAATACGGATAGATCATCAACCTCAAGTTAGAGGCCTGTGCCAGGCTGAATCTTATAATTTAGACCAGACGGATCAGCATCGCGTTCCTCCCTCGTCATTAGTACCGATCGTATCGTCACAAGGTCAGCTATTGATATTATTGAAATTATTATACTGACATTTTCACTTTATCTTCTTCTAATATTATATAATATGGAATAGGTCATCAATCCGTTGGAGGCCTGCATGAGCCATACGAGAATGGGCCTTATAGTTCAGGCCAGGTGGAGTTGCAACAAGGTTCTCCTGTATCATACGGATCCCCATCTCATTCTTACGTCTATCATTCGGAAAATAATTTTGTTACAAACGAATTATCAATGCCAATGAATGCAGGTACTTCTGTTGCAAGTTAACTCTCTATTTGATAATATGAACGGAAATAGTTATATTTTCTTACATCTTTAATATAAAATTAGTTCAACAAAATCGAACAAGAAATGTAGGGGAATCATCACCTATTACTAATACATTCGGACCACCGGTCCAATATCCATCAGTAATGTGTCCAGCACCCGTGCTCGTGAAAATATATGCCTGTCCGAGCTCCATTAATCAAATCCAATATTCATGTGAACACTCGGCACCGATTAATACAGTAGGGACATCACAAGGTTAGTGAAAATTGAAATATAATTTTTATAGTGGTAATTTGCTCCGACAGTTTAGTTTAGCATGATTTTGAGTTAAGTATCGGAGAAACGACATAGACCGATTACTTTTTTATAATAATTACGTAGTGCTTCAAGTTAGTTTATATGCAGGTATATAAGATATTATTTAAGTGAATATTCCACTTACCTTTAAAATTTTTTCATAAAAAAAATTAGTCTATCAAAATATTGCCTTTAATGGTAAGATACTATCATTGTCCGAACACGTTTTACGTATCAAACAATTCAATAATGACATCATGCCTTTTAATATTAAACGTAGGACAACAGCAAATGTCAGTAAGTTCGGGTAGAGAAAATAACTCACAAACACAAAATTCTTCGACCATTGCATCACCAAGTAAGGATTGTAACTACTAAATAGGCCTACCATATGAATAGAGCTTTTTGTAGTTGCTGTACAAATATGTACTGAGAATTAAATTTACATTAACATTTACTGTTGGTTTACTATAGCTCATTGGGATAATGCAAATTATTTAAACATGACTTCGGCTCCAGAATTTCAAACGGTTATATCGCAAACTCCAGTACATTTAAATGGAATCGCAGGTAAAATTCATATGATAATAGAATGTACTGTATGTACGTACAAGAACTGTAATAATCACTATCTTGATTTACTTAGATTATACATATGAAGGATAAATTGTAGTCTTAAAATGAATTTGTCGCTTCTGTTTTGCAAATAGGTATGCTCATTATTCATCACATATTTTTAATAATGGCTTCATAACATTTAACCTATTATTGTCATTTTTTTAGTGGAATTATATATTTTTATGCCTGAAGGATTTTTTTATAAGGAAAGATTATGATTTAAAATTAAGTTTATATATTTTTTATAATTTATTTACGCATTTTGTAACGATAGCAATGTTATGCAATTTTATGATGTCTTAATATACCAAACAAAAGAATATAACAGTAAGATTTTTTCCATATGATTTTACAAAAATTTTATTATTTTGTGATACAAATTCTATTGTTGAAATTTCTGGAGGTTGCATTCCGGTGTTCGTACGTATGTATACACATATAGATTTAACGTGTTGTCTCTCACAAAAGCAAAAAGAGTAGCTTTTGTTCGCACAAAGCAAAAAGAGTGATTTTTTGTGTATATCTGAACCAACGATTAAATAATGGATATAGAAATCTATCGTTATTTAAAAATTGATTATGAATATAATTTTAACTCGAATTGAATCTAAATCTGAGCTGACATCTCAACCTTGTCCTTATTCTATAAAGACTTAAGGAACTGGTCAGGAATCATTTAGAGAATTGTTCTTCAGAATCACAGCCTAAAATTATTCGTAAAAGACTACGGAATTTTATCGATGTTATTCCGTAACCATCTGTGGAATTTATGATAGTGTAACATTAATAGTGTTACTATTAGTAAATCATTGTCAAAATATCCTGATAAATTTAAATGATTTTTATTATTGCAATCTTATCGTTACAGTATATTAAAATTACTATCAGAACTGTCAATAATTATTATCACGTGCTGAAGTGACATTTCCGAAATTCGACGTAGTGAGATTTTATGGTCATTGGACTGTATTTTCCTTCGATCGAGCTCAGGTGGATTATTCTATTGGTTGTGACACAATGCGAACGGAGTACGCTCGTTGAAAAAAGTCCGAGAAAAATACTCGAAGCAGTGTAGGAGGGAAAGTAAATATTGAGTTAAGCGAAGGAAAAGCCCCATCCTTAGTGAATCCGTTGAGTCTTTACGAGCTTGGATGTGAAAACAATATCAAAGCCTCTTGCGCTCCGATGTAAAAGTTATAAATAAGTTGTAATTTTTCTTTGTAAATAACAGAACCCACGGGTTATAAATACACAATAATAAACCTTGCTAAATCACTATCATCACGCCTCTGGCGATTTGCCTAATCGTATTAATTAAATCTACTTTTTTTTTTTTGCTGTATAATCTCTGACCCTACAATTCACCCTGTAACATTATCATCGCAAGAATATCAAAAGGTTAGCTGAAACACATTATGAACCAGAGGGTAATACGTCTGTATAAGCACCTTCATCACGAACTTCGAAGGTCCATATATTTACGTAATACTGTATCACGTAGACGACAATAATATTATGTAGTTGTTTGATATACATTTATGTAAGTGTAAGGCCATTTAACAATTTATATAAATTTAAGTTTCTTTTTGTATAGTATTACTGAAGGTCCGTAGGACGCTTAAATATTTGTAAGATATTATATAATTTCATATAAATTCATGTAATTTCTTACCTAATAATTTTATAAAAAAGTTCGTGATGTTTTAATCGGGTCGTGGTAGCTACGCATAAAAAGTCCACAGTCCCATGATTTAAGACACAGAATCAGGTGTAACGTGAAAAACAAAACAACCTCGTCACTCATATCTCAAGAGTTTGCTTATATGACTGCTTTCCGCATCCTAATAAAAAAATAATCCTTGCGAATTTTGATATAAATAAATAAATAAATGTTTATATAGTCGATTATCGATATAACGGACATCCTTACGCCGAATTTTTAATAGGCAATTTAAAACGGTTATAACGAACTAAGTACAGTGAAACCTCCATAAATGCACGTTCTTGGGACTGAACTTTAACAACGTGCATTTAGAGAACAATAAGAAAAAGTGCATTTATAGAAGTCTTGCATATATTTGGACCAGGGTTGAGCGTGCATTTATAGAGGGTGCATTTATAGAGGTTTCACTGTATTAGTAAGGCTATATTACGTATAACGGGCATCTTTGCCAGCCTAATATTATAAATTAACATAGTGGAAGTTCATTTTGATTGGTTGAGTTGATCTTTTTTTTTATATTGTCAATTGTAATTTTAAAGTATTTTTAAATAAGTAAAGATATAAAAATTTTTTTCTGTAATACATAAATAAGTAAAGATATAAAAATTTTTTTCTGTAATACATAAATATTATTATGACGACTTAACATATCGTTTAAAACTACTGTTTTTTAACAACTGATCAATAGGATGAAAAAGATTGAAAAACTAAATGAGAAGTGAAGGTTTTGAAAGGTCGGAAGGTGTTTCGGCAACCTAAGCAATTAGTAAGTGAAAGTTGCAAAATTTTGTAGTTCTATTTTGTTTTCTATAAATTTGGAACTAATGTTCCAACTCTATCTTTTTATTATATTTAGGTTATGAGTAGTTTATAAATACAGTATAACCTGTCAAAACCGATACTGTCAAAACCGATAACCTGTCAAAACTGATAAAAAAATTGATAACCTGTCAAAACTGATACAAATTTAGTAGCAGTGTTAGAAATGTTTGTTTATGTTATTTTATTCAGCAGATTGTGTTGCGAAACTTAGAGTATTTGTTGTAAAATAATAGTGTACTTATTACGAAATGAATAATATTGTATACATTGTGAAATATGAATAATATTGTTTACATTGTGAGATATGAATAATTATGAACACAAATTAATGTATTTTAAGACTATAATACGCGTCTTTAGAAAGTATTGACTAATCTTTTGAAAGTTTCATAAGTAATAAATTTCATCCGGGGCATAGCCTATACTTTATCTGGAGAATGATCTATATTTTTTCTGGGGTACTATGCTTTATAAATTAAACATAAGCCCAACCAATCAGTGCGCTGTTTTATGACTGCAATTTATATGACTATTAAAAAAAAATCTGGCCTAACGCTAAATAGACCTATAACGGAATTTAATATTTGTTAAGCCTATTCCGTTACATAGGTATAGAAAATATGCTATACAAAAATTTTTAGATTTCCGTTATATTGATAGTTGGCTATAATACACCCTCTAACGAGTTTACCGACATATACCCGACAACCACTTCCCCCGACAACTATTTTCCTGACAATTGTTTTCCCGACATAACCATTTTCCCGACAACCATCCTAACATCATGAACCTAGCATGACCACCAAAATCAGATAAGTACGGAGTTAAAATTTACCATAAAAATTCGATTAAATATGTGATACCATATTAGTCATTTATGATGATGACAATGTTTACGTAGTATCGTTATGACGATACCTGCTTACTCTATAACAAAGTAATCATTTCAAAAAAATTTTTCCTTACCAAATATTTCATTAATGGAAACCGATTATTCAAACCAATTGAATTCAAAATCTTGTTCATCCTGCCAAAAAATAAAACCATTTGGGTTTTTTTCCTTGAAAATGACCTACGAGACATTGTTACACAAGATTTTTATTAAGAAAAACATAGTAAATCTATTTTTAGAAAAAAAATTCAAGGCAAAGACCCCATTTAACGAATTTGAAAATAATAATAAAACATGTATCAAATGCTTAACTCATGTAAATAAAAGTAAAAAACAGAAACTTCAAGAACGAAATATGGATGATATTCGTGAAATGCAAGAAAGTGCTATAAAACCTGAAGATCTTGAAAATGTAGTTTATAGAAAACTTATGGAAAATGAGGAAAAGGATGAAAAAATAGATCTTAATGTAATTATAAGCCTTTCAGATCGAGTTGACGAATTAGAAAACAATATTGATGAATCATATGTAAGCTTAATAGCAATTGAAATCGTAAAGTTATGTGAAAAAGGTGATGAATACTCTTATGTTTATCATAAGAAGTATAAGCAAACAAAAAGTACGACTTTCACTTATTGGTGTAATTGTCGTCAAGAGCTAGAAAAAAAGACAAAAAAAGTTTTAGATAATTCAAAGCAACATAACACAGATTCGCGATTAGATCGTTATAACTGTAAAGGTGCTATTCTTGTTAAAATTGACTTACAAAATAAATTAGCATCAGTAAAATTGGAACATATCTATTTGCATCCATGACCACAACATATAGGTGTTACTGATGAAATTAAAACATATATTAAAGAGAACTTAGTATATACGGCACCTGAATTATATAAGCAAATTATCCTTGAGAAGATAAATGGTTACGAGTTATTTACTGTTGATCAAGCATATTATTGGTGGACATATCACACCGTTACAAAATATAAAAGAGCAAATAATCAACTTCAATCAGCCAAATTGTTATTAAATGAAAAAAATTATAAGATCATTTTAGAAATAGATAATCCAACGGAAGCATTTGCTTTTGTAACACCATTTATTATCAATTTACCTAAAATAGCCTTTGAAACTTTACTTGTTGATGCCACTTATAATACGACTAGGCTTAAACATGAGCTTTATTCAATTCTAGCAGTTCTTGATGGTACGGGCTTTCCAATAAGCTATTTATATATTTCAAGTGGCAAAAATCGTGATATACGTATGATTTTAACAAAATGGTTTAAAGCCATTTCAAATATGAATGTTAGCAATGTAAAGATATTACTTTCAGATAAAGATTTTTCACAGATCTCCAGTGCACAAGCTATTTGGAAAGATGTAAAGGTGCAACTATGTAAATGGCATGTTAGACGTGCTATAGAACAGAAGCTTTCTTCGACTATAAAAGGAATAAAAATTAGTTATGATGCTAATAAAGCATATAATGAATGTCCCGTAATTGATCCTATGTGGAATGATGATCCTTTTCAACATATGTTATGCAATAAGGTTTTTCTTAAGGCTGAATCAAGAAAAGATGTGCTAGATTTAATAGAAACTCATTT